AGCATGAAATGAACTAATCTTCAAGCTGTGTACGTTTAGACCAAATGGACTGAACATTAACTTTAATTTCTTGTGACTGTGTTTCTAGTGTGTATTACACATACATGTGCTATAACTATGGTTTTCATATATGTTGCAACATGCCTTTAATTTGCTTAGTCTGTACTTTGTGCACATGCTCTTTTCACATACTGAAGAAGGGCTAGACCCGAAACCTTCGTTCATTCTACTATTTGACATTTTGGAAGGGCTTTTTCAACCTTATATTTAGTTTATCATCATAGTTGCATGCATCATATGAGTTGTTTGCTCATTTGCATCGGAAGAATCCGCCAGAAGATGGTCCCTCTATCAGATTAGAGAGTGTAGAAAGGACTCTGTCATTCAACAGCAATATTTGGCCTAGATGTTACTGGCTCATGGTTCCCAAAGTGAAAGGAAGTTCCAAGTCAGTTACACAAAAAGCCTATGTATGAAGATACCTATTTACTCCATTGGAGTTGTTAAACAGTATTAACAGCAACAATATGCATTGAGACTTAAATGTAAATTTATACTGAAACAGTTAGACTACTCACACTCGTTTTGCATCAGTGGTAGTCAACCCAGCTGAACCTCATATACTATCTGCTCTTATAATCCATCAAATATTTTCGCTCGCGTGCGGTTGGTCTTTGTTCGAGATCCCAAACTTTCACTTGAGTAGTATATAATTGTACTGTAACTGCAGTGTAAGTACCATAAAGTAAGGAATATGTATAAGTGGGGTATTTCATGTAACTATCTTAATGTACATGTAAGTATTGCATTGTAAGTAGTGTTTGTAAATAGTTTTGTCTGTAAAAGAAGAACAAAGATAATGAAAACAAACCAACTTTGACTTGTGTTTCTGTAACTTGACAGACACATAATAATGCTTTACACATTCAATGTATTTTTCAAATAAAATGTTAATTTATATATCGAGTCTCTGTTATTTGAAAAAAATTCTCATTTCAGGATTCAAGTATGGCTTTTTTTTCCTTTTCAGGAAACGCTGCTGGACAGGAACAGGTCATCAAAGGGTAAACATCTGAAAAACAGTTCATTTCTGTGAAGTTGTTATCAGTGATAATCAACAATTAGATTATGAGCACAAAATTTCTGCGAGGGTGTTGTAAAAGATCCGAGTTGCTATGCGAGTCAATAGAGTTGCCAAACCCATGTTCTATTGTACCAGTAAACATGTAGTTCCTGATGAGCCAGCACTATGCAAGAACTCAAGCTCAGAACACTAGTAAGAACATAACAAACAGTTTCAGCTTCCACGGGTTGAGATATGAATTAACACAAATATCTTTTCTTTCAACATCTACGTGATAATTTGCAAGAAAATACAGAAGGAGAATTCCAATAAAATGCTTAATTTTTATTTTCTGTCAATGACAAAAATTTTATGCCAATTCCGTTTACAGTCAGATAAAACTCTTGAAACCTTGAAACTAAAACCATGAGATTATTTACCCTCAATTCCTATGAGGTTATATAGTTGACTCGGCCTTCAACCTCATCAGCTATTTATAATAATAGATTATGCTTTCCATGGCTTTACCCGTGCAGTAAACATGCAAGGTATTGGGAGAATTTAGCTTTTAAATCACCAGCCATTTGGGTGAGAGATTTACATGCTTTTGGAGTGTTCTCCAAACATCCTCGTTGAATGGGTATATTTTGTCTATATTATTTGATATACCGGTATGTCAACAGTGTGCTTCTTAGTTCCTTTCAATTTCTGATTTCTTTCCACTTAAAAGCCTGAAATGTTTTTCCAGCCAAATTTGCTAGCAAAAGCCTGGAACCTTCCAGACTAGTCAAAACTGCATTTTCACCAGACTGTTAGTCTCAAGCCCTGGTCATCACTATTAATTTTTCATTTTATGTTTATACAATCAGGTTAATGCAGATTCAGTGCTGCTTTTTAAGTAGTCCTGACCTTAAGTTCACTTACAATACATCTTGATCAATTGACATGTTATTGCAAGTTGATTAATAATAATATTTAATATGATCATTAATCACTACCAGCAAAAGAACAAACCCATTGAACTTTTACACCATCCCTAACTCTAAGGTTAAAATAAGTTTTTTCATGATACACAAAAGTTAATTTGATTACCGAGAGTAAAGTCAGCAGTAACCCTCTACTCGAGGTTGTTTTTGTCACATTCTGTAATTAGGTAAATAATTGAAATTTACCTCATATAAATTTTTTAATTAATCTACTCATTATTAAGGTTGGTTATCAGTAGCGCTAATGTAAGCATTAGCATAAGCCAACATATGCAGATGCTGTAAGATATTGATCATATTAAGTACCCTTTCTTAGGAACATTTCCTAGCAAAAGGTACTACTTGGCAGTGCTCTACTGCATCTCCATATGTTGTTTATGCATAATGTGCTAATGAAAACCACCCTTTACAGCAGTCCAGATGACATCTTACTTTGAATGATGGTCTCATTTTATAAATTCTCATACAGGTTTGCTGATAGAGTTATTAAGTCATTTGGCTTTGTCTCATAACTGTGATAAGTCTTCCAAGGGAGTTCAAACATCTTTACAACAACTTTCTTCAGTAGGTAAGTAACTGAGTTTGCTAGCATTATTATAATGATAAGCACGGGCAACAAGTGGAAATCTCTGTCTAGAAGTTCTGGATGTGCTCTCCCTGGCATAAAGGTTGGAGTGTTCTACCCATCTCTTCATTTGTTTTTCCTTAATGTTTTTGCCCGATTTTGTCTTAAGTGGAGCTGTTTTGCTTTGCTTGGGACCAATTAATTGCTTTTTTGATGCCCTGATACATCCTCTGATATTTCCAGTGTAAGCACCGCTTGAATTCTGGTGCACACTGGTCCATCCAGAACTTGTTTGCACAAGTTCTGGCTTCCTGCTTGACTCTGCTTTGAGCAGTGCAAAGGGCTTTTAGGGTTACTGGTGATGGGGACTGGACCTCATGTATTCCTGAAGAGCAGACTTTTTGGACCCTATGAGTGGCTTCAGTCTTGTAAAGGTAGCATCAAGCCAGTCATCGCTCTTGCCCTTCTTTTTTCCAAAAGCTGATTCTGCAGAAGTGTAGGTGACAGTCTTCAGGTGTTGCTAGAAGCTGTTTGGCTTTTACATCCTTTCTTTCCAATAACTATTGTTGTTACCGAGAAGAGTTTGTGTAACATATTTTCTTCACCCTCCAAAGAAGACCAAATTGCAATACTATTCAACAATTAGACCAGTT